TTTTTGTGCAAGAAGAAACTTTCATATTTGGTAGGCATTCAGGATCCTACCTTAGTGTCTTACCCTTCATGGATATTATCCCCAGAATCTGTACTTCTAGGAATGCTGTAGCAGCATCTGAAAAAAGAATGGCAAAGCATTCTCTCTGGGAACAAAGTGGGTCTGCTCAGTGTGGTAGAGTAGTATGTGGTCAACAGCCTGAGCTGAGATTCATTGTTGTATTGTATCATTTTATGTGTGTTTGAACCACCAAATCTGATCATCTTTATATTCCTAATGATGGAATTTGGCACCTTCCAGTGCTTACTCTTTGGGGAATCCAGATCCTCTTTAAGTCTGTGGATAGGAAGAACACAAGACAGGGCAGGTGACAAGCAGCTGTCAGGTGACACGTGCAAGTTATATTTTTCCTGCTCTTCATGCTTTGTCTCTGAGAAGCTCTTGGAGCAGGGTTGCATGTTGAGATGGCTACTGATCCAAGAACCAGTCACTCTAACAGACCTCTCTTCACAGAAAAGGTTGTTGTCTCTAATACTGTGTGGAACTTAGTGGTTTGTTGTGCTAGGATTTGTGTGAACCATTTCATCAGTCTCACTTCACATGAGGACTGGCTTTGAACCTCAGTCAAAATCACTTGATTGCCACCAGCTTTAATAAAACAAACAAACAAACAAATAGCCCTGAACCTGAATCTTACAAGGGCTCGCACAAAACCCAGAACCAGACCCACTACATTGGGTTACTTTTGGGATGTGGAGGAGACACGTCATACTTTTTGGTGGCCCTTTGTCATAAGGAATGAGGCCGGGGATATGCCTAGAAACTGGAAATGCCTTTGAAATAGTGCACGGAGCCCTTTACCCACCATTTTCCTCATTGGAAGATGGTGAAGGGAAGCATCTAGTGTTGTGGCAGTGTCAAGGGGATTATCACCATGTGGTGTCTCATATGTGAGTGTCTTAGACTGCCTGTGGCCAGCGGTGGATTTAGGGCAGAATGAGCGGGGCGGCTGCCCTAGGCCCCGCGCTTCCTGAGGCCCCGCACATTCACCATGGCGCATGCGCCGTGTCAAAGGGGAGGCCTCACAAAATTTCGCTGCCCGGGGCCCCGCGGCGTTGCCCTCGGTCCCGCGGCACTCTCAGCTGCCCCTGCCTGTGGCAGGTTACAATCTCCAAGTTGTTGCTAGAAAAGAGCACTCAAATACTCAAAAACTTATTACCTGCTCCAAATCCTCACCATTGGGATAGGAAAGTCTTAATTTATCTCATCCCATGTACACATGTGCATGGAGATGTTTGTGTGTTTGCTTTTTAAGTTCTGCATTGTTGGTGCAATTCCTTGGAGACCGTTTCCTACCAGGTTTATGATGGCTACATGTGCGCACAGCTGAATGGGTTTGTAATAGCATTATCTTACTTTCTTCTGCCCTTTGGACGTGGCTCGGAATGGATGTCTGGTTTCAATGCCCATGCTTATTTAATTTAATTTAGGTTGCATATGCCCAATTCTGTTCGCTCTCAGTATATGGGGTCTGAGGGCTCTTATGGATCCTCCTGTAACAGTGAACTGCTGTGCAGGAATACGAATATACAGCAGCATCACTCTGGAACACTGATGGAGCCACAAGCTCCCTGCACTCAGCACTCTGAGGCCATTGTGCATGTGCTTCTCAGAAGCAGTGTAGAGTAGGTGGTTTTGTGTGCAGAACGGTTCTGTATAGCGCCCATTAGCCATTATCTGATGCCCCTTTGCAACTGAAAGTGAAACTTGTGCCGCTTTCAGCTGTCCTGGGGACTTGCTCCTTCTGAGGCGAGGAGTGAATTCAAACTGTGGATGGGCTGTTATGGCTCCTGTGGGGAGGGCCTGGCATCCCCTCAACATTTCATTGTGCATGGGCCACAACACTTGAAAGTTGAAGCCGTCTCCTTCCAATCACACAACAGGTGCCAAAAACTAGGGGACTGAAGAATCTCTAACAGGCAAAACACTAGGTTTTAATACTGACCCCAAACTCATCCCATGCTCTTGGTAACTATCACTGTGCTGCACAAGTCTTTCACAAACCTGTGCAAACCATGTTTGCTGGACACCTGACACTTACTGGCTTCCTGAGGATTAGTCTTAAAATAAGGCCAGACTCACCAGTTTTGGTCTGGTTTTGCTTTTGGTGTTTGGATTCTCCTGTACTGCAAAATGAAGGGAGAATTCCATGCTGGTGCACTGACTTGGACGGAAAGATTGGTATGGGCCCACAGGACCCAAAACTGCCACATCTCCCTTTAGTTTGTGACCGAGTGCATCTGTGCAGTTCCCTGCATGGTATTAGTTGCAATGCCAAAATTGCAACCCATGATTCACCACAGGCGTAGCTTAAACAATGATAAAGCATTAATGGAAGCAGTAACGTAGAAAGGGCTCAGTGTTGTTAGCACTGTCAACTTATTTTGCTCAGAGCAACTCCCAAGCAAGTTCTCTGTTGCAATTTCACCTGCTTTCACTTTAGAGGAAGATGATCATACTGTTATCCCTTTTGAGCAACACAGTTAGCCACTACTGAAAATCTTATGGTTGTTTCAGTTAAGAGGAGAAATTGAGGCTGTTGTCAAGGTATTTGTTTCATACAGTTCTGTTTATTTACAAAGAATGTGAACAAAGTTCAGCGTCTATGAACACAGTAGGAATCATACAGGAGACATTTTCCATGCAAATATTCCAACCCTCTTTCCCCAGCCAGCTTTCTGCCCAAAAGCTTTCTCTCAGCCTTCTCTCAGGATCACACTACACATGCTTCAGTGGTTGTCCTTGGCTTTCTGCTGCCTTCTCTGAGTGCTTCTGAGGTGTTTCTGGATGCATCTGTGTCCACGCCCATGTGTGCATGCACACACAGCTCCACCAGAACAATATACCTCACCTTTGGTATTTGCATTCA